ACAGCCCCTCCCCCTCCACCCACACAGCCCTTCCCTCCCTCCACCCACACAGCCCCTCCCTCCTACCCTCCACCCACAACCTCCCTCCTTCCCTCCACCCACACAACCCTCCCTCCTTCCCTCTCCACCCACAACCCCTCCCCTCACCACGCCTCCTCCTCTCACTCCACCCACCACAGCCCCTCCCTCCTTCCCTCCACCCACATTCTGTACAGACCCTCCCTCCCACAGTGAGAGGATCAATCAGGTGGGGGGGTGACTGGCAGTCTCCAAACTCGGATTGTAGCCAATTTGGTTTGGTGGGTGAGATTGGTGGTGCATACTGAGTGTGTGTGTGTGTGTGTGTGTGTGTGTGTGTGTGTGTGTGATGAGTGTGTGTGTGTGTGATGAGTGTGTGAGATGAGTGTGTGTGTGTGTGTGTGATGAGTGAGTGTGTGTGTGTGTGTGCGTGTGTGTGGTGGGAGGTTTGTGTGATGATGAGGAGTGTGTGCGAATTGGGGTGTGTGAGATGTATGTGAGTGTGGGTGCTAGAAATGTAAGTGTATGCGCGAATGTGGTGTGTGTAAGTGTGTGAGTGTGTGAGATGAGTGTGTGTGTGTGATGAGTGAGTGAGTGTGTGTGTGTGTGTGTGTGGTGGGAGTGTTTGTGTGATGATGAGTGAGTGTGTGTGCGAAGTTGAGAGTGTGTGCGAATGTAAGTGTGTGTGCGAATGTGAGTGTGTGTGCGAATGTTACTGTGTATGCGAATGTGAGTGTGTGAATGTGAGTGTATGTATATTCGCTGATGTTGGTGTTCGCCGTTATAGTCATCATAATTATAAACATGGCAGCCGCTGTCACCTAAACTTGGGGTCAATAATATCTAGTTAGGTGAGGTGAGGTTAGGTTAGGTTACATTAGGTCACGTTAGATTAGGTTAGGGTAGGTTAGGGTAGGCTAGCGTGATTAAGCTCAATATGAAATAAGCTGGGGTGATTAATCTTCAGGTAATCCGTATTTCTTATTATGTCGGTATTAATGGAGATATTACGGGGTTATCAACAACTCGAGGAGGACTCAAGATGGCGCCATTGTTATCTACACCTTCACCACCACAAGGGGACAACTTGAAAGCTTCCTTCAACACCACTATCGAGTTTCTGAGGCGGTGTTGTCACTGTTCCCTCCTCCTCACCTCACTGTGTGGTGGTGGTGGTGGTAATGGTGATGATGGTGTTGCTGGTGATGGTGGTGGTGGTGGTGGTAATATTAGTGATGATGGTGTTGCTGATGGTGTTGCTGGTGGTGGTGGTGCCCTGCCGTCAGCCTGCTCCTGACAGCCGCCCTGACCTGCTGCCTCGCTTTGTTCTGCAGTCTTTTGTCTTCACAGTAAACAAGCGATACACCAAACCATTTTTTTTATTCTTGAAATCAAGTTTGAGTTCACTCTTGTTTAACGAGTTTATTCGTAATTTGGCGTTTATAATATAACTTACAGAACAAGTAACATCATCATGTTCTTTTAGTTCATAATTAGGTGAGGTTAGGTTAAGTTAGGTCAGGTCAGGTTAAAGTTAGTGAGGTTAGGTGAGATTAGTTTAAGTCATTTGTGTTTAATTTAACAAGATTTTAAATTCTTTCATTCTAGTTCATAAAAGAAGAGTACAAAAAATTCTTGTCATTCAACACAATTCTAGTTCTTCAACGAACATAATTTCCCCATCATGAATTAAAAATCCTGAGTCCATTGTCACTATCATCAACGTATACATACAAGAAATTAAATCAAAATGCTTCAAACAGGGCTCTCAATATCTGTCTGTCTGTCGGTACGTCCACCTACCAACCAGCATGACGTATCTATTCCACACTCGTTCACGACGGCACTGTACACGACGTCTCCGGTAACTAACCCATGAGACACACAGTGTTGCCGGCGCAGCTACTCACACTGTCTACAGATGAGGTGAGGACGATGGGGGTGTACAGCCCACCTGCTGGCAACATTGCCTTCGTCACTCTTCTCTTATAATCATTTGTCATTTTCCAAAACGAAAATTTCCGGGAAGATGGATGGGACCGTCTCCTGGCCCTCACGGTCTCCCTATATTACGCCCTTAGACTTATTGTCGGGGTATGTCAGGGATTATGGCATCAGGGAAGTGACGAAGGATATGTTAGCCAACACGATTTGTTATACAACAAAATACACAAAAATATTGTGTGTGTGTGTGTATATATATATATATATATATATATATATATATATATATATATATATATATATATATATATATATATATATATATATATATATATAGTGTAAAGTACATAAGAATGGAGGAAACTGCAGCGGGCCTATTGGCCCATACTGGGCAGTCCTGTTTACACCCAAATCCTATCGCACATATAGCCATCCAACCTATGTTTGAAGTTATCCAGCGTATTCGAGTTAATGATGATGCTTGGTAACTTGTTCCACTACTCTATTCCCAAACCAATGTTTACCTATTTCGCACCTAAAGCTAAATTTGTCTAATTTAAAACCACTGTTACGAGTTTGCTCTTGGTTGGATAGTTTGAGTACGTTTGTAATGTCCCATTTGTTCAGCTCTGACTTCCATTTATACACCTCTATACACACACGATTATATCCTCGCTTGGTGAGTGTGGGAGGGGGTGACCTGTATTGTCCCGCCTCCAGACTCCCTCAAGAGCCGTCACGTGACCTGTCATGAGCAGGTCCCCACCAGGAGGAAGTTATGGGGAATGCGGGGGATGGGTGGCACTGACATGGGCACGAGCTGCAGGTGGTAGGATGAGGACAGGAAAGTGGGGGAAGGGAAGGGAAGGAAAGGAGGAGGAGGAGGAGAAAGGAAGATAAAGGGGGAGGGAGGGAAAGAGGGCGAAGGGAAGGGGAAAGAACATAAGAATGGAGGAAACTGCAGCGGGCCTACTGGCCCATACTGGGCAGTCCCGCTTACACCCAACCCCTATCGCTCATATTGCCATCCAACCTATGTTTGAAGTTATCCAGCGTATTTGAGTTAATGATGATGTTTGGTAACTTGTTCCACTCATCCACTATTCTATTTCCAAACCAGGGAGGGAAAGAGGATGAAGGGAAGGGGGATGGAGGGAAAGAAGGGGAAAGGAGGGAAGGATGGCGAAAGGAAGGAAAAAGAAAGGGAGGAAGGTAGAGAAGGGAAGGGGAAAGGAGTGAGGGAGGATAAACGGGAGGGTAGGAGGGTGAAGGGGAGGGAAGGAAGGTGAAGGGGAGAGGAAGGGGATCAGCTTACCACAGTTCGGTCTCACACTAACAGCTCACATTAGTGCTCTCACATTATGAACCTCAGCGGGTCACGTTCTAAGTCTCTCATACTGTTACACTCACACTAAGTCCTTCACACCCGCACAATCACCCCATGAGACTCACACACACTATTCGCATACTAACTCTCCCACCCACCACAACACCATACCACTACTCACACACCCATCTACCACAACATCACTACCCACACAACTACCACTTACACACCCACCACAACACACCACTACCCCATACACTCAATAACCCACCACCAACCACAGACACCACCCACCACACCACCCACCCACCACCACCCACCCACCACAGCCAACCACAGACACCACCCACCACCACCCACCGCAGCAACACCACACCCCACCACCCACCCACCACCACCACCACCACCACCACCCTGCCTTCTTGTACTAACCAGCAACGCGAGTGTCCTCTAAACTGGTCATTAAATCCTTTAATTACTCAACAGTGATGATGGTGGTTAGACAGTCGAGTGTCATTGTTGTTCCTGATGGCTACCGATGGTCCTACAGCTGGTACTCGACCTACTGCTGGATAAAGAAGGAGCGTAGTGGAGAGGGAGGAGAGGAGGGGGGAGTGGGAGGAGAGAGGGAGGAGAGGAGGGGGCGTTGTTTCGTTGAGTGGTGGTGGAGGACGAATTAACAATAAGATGGCTTATTCTTCAGCCTAGGAGGACAGTAGTTAGGTGTCCTCCAGCCACTCACAGGACAGTCACCCCTTGTTCAGTCTGTATGGTGACGCTCGTGTTGTGTGTGTGGTCGACAATGCAATCATCAACTGATACGAGAGAGGGACAATGCCGGAGGTAACACACACAAGCATACGCATACACACACCCATACGCACCACGCACGCACACACACACACACTCACAGGGACAGTACTTGGCCTTGTTACCCACCTGCCACACTGCGCTCGAAAACACGGAAGGTTTTGGTGTTAGTTCTGTTCACATGCTGCGAACTTATGGATATTGATATATTATTGTTTTAAATCTTAATATAACAGATGTCGGCAACAGATTCTTTAAAGTCCTTAACTTCTAAATTACTGTACATGTCGATGTCACTAAAGGGCAGTCATGAGAGGTTGTGTTAAGAGCGCCATAGCTTTGGAATGACGAAAATGATTCCGGGACTTAGAAACCTTCCATATCAGGATAGGTTAAAGAAACTAAACTTGCATTCCCTAGAAAGACGAAGAGTGTGGGGAGACATGATAGAAGTATTTAAGTGGGTGAAAGGAATCAATAAAGGGGATATAGATAAAGTTCTTATAATATCCGAGCAGGATAGGACTCGAAGCAACGGATTTAAGTTGGATAAGTTTAGGTTTAGGAGGGAGATAGGAAGGAACTGGTTCACTAATAGGGTGGTGGACGAGTGGAACAAGCTTAGCAACTTTGTAGTAAGTGCGGGAACGCTGGAAAGTTTCAAAAAGAGGCTGGATAGATTCATGGATGATAGAGAGTGGTAGTAACTCTCGACAGGAGCTGCCATGCACAGGCCAACCGGCCTATTGCAGACTCCTTACTTTCTTATGTTCTTATACGTGTCACGGTCATATAATTTTCTTTACGCTCTCGATAATGACAGTTTTATATAGATACAGACAGACTCATGCACATGGACGCTTATAGTCCCCCAAAAAGAGAAGTTAGAGGATAGACTCACCTGGACGCGAGCTTCAGACAGATCAAGCCTCATGGCGAGCTCCTCCCTGGTGAAGACGTCCGGGTACTGAGTCTTCTCGAAGGCTCGCTCAAGCTGGTGCAGCTGGTAGGTGGTGAAGGTGGTGCGTGAGCGACGGACCTGCGGGCGAGGGGCACCTGTACACGTCAGCTTCAGGGAGATACAAGAGGAGGACTTGTAGTGTTGGCTAGTGGGGGGGAGGGTGGGGGAGGGCACACGCCTATACCTGTCCACCCACGCCTACACGCCTTCGTGTCTCCAGTCTCTACACATCTGTACACATTCGTCTCTTTAAAGCGTTCCACACACGTCTCTTATGCATGTTACTACACACACACACACACACGCACTCGCCAAGACCGTGTGGTGACGGGCAGTGCTCTATGAACTATTAAAATAATTAAATCATCATCAGTAATACCCTAAGGTTGAACTAGGGATCCTGACTAATCTCAGGTAAACTAATTCATAAGGGTGCCAATTTAAAAGTGTCTTGTGTCCAATTTCTTGCGATTTTTTCACAGTGATTTTTAAGAAAAGATTTGGTTGAATGTATAAAACGTGTATTAATCAGGTGAAGGAGTGAGAGAAAAAAGACTTTGAACTTACTAAAGGAATAAGTAGTTTGTGTTCTCAGCGACATCGGTACTTAGGTGAATCAGATTAAATTAAGTGTATATATCGCTCAGTGGTCTGTGAAATAATTTACTGAGGATTTATATTGAAATTCATATCCAGCGTTTCAGCCACGAGCTACCTGTAACTAATTAAGAAATTTGTTTTTTTTCTAGCTCGTAAATTGGACTTTATTCTCTAAATTTTAAAACAAACATTGAAGTGAAAATTACGACGAAAACCTTTAATATTATTACAGGTCGTAAGGACACGTTTACTCTCAGGACCTAGCCTAACCTAACCATCCGGGCCAAAATTTGATCTGATAATGAGACATGATGCATAATACCTATACCTAATATCATGCTAGATTAACGTGATACACAAATATTCCTTGATTAACTTAATACATATAACATGATACATTCTTTATATATGTTTGTTTACTATTTTATTTGATATATTTCCAATGGTTATATATCACTGGGGCTTCTAGATGACACGAGACTGTATGTGTGTGTGTGTGTGTGTGCGCGCGTCTGCTATCTGTCTCTATTTTTCCTGTCTGTCTCTCTCAAACTGTCTCTGTGTTTCTGTCTGGCAGTCTCTCTGTCTGGCTCTCTCTCTATATCTATCTATCTCTAATTTTGACTGTCTGTTTGTTTCTGTCTATCACTCTCTGTCTATCTCCTTCTGCTTGTGTCTGGCTGTCTGGCTCTCTTTCTACTTCTCTTTCTCTGTCTGTCTTTCTATCTGTCTGTCTGTCTCTCTGTCTCTCTCTGTACATAAAGAAAATCACTGTTATTATGTCACCTGTAGACCTCTGAACCTCCTCCAGTTACGACAGGTGTAAAACATTATCCTAAAGGGCCACTGAAGATTACCCCAACAACGCTTCCTGGGGTGGTCGTGTTAAGATGCGTCCACACATGCGTATACAGTAGCTAAAACAACTATCTGTGCATACTTCGTGGGGAAACAATATGAGACCATGGGCGATGAATATTGGTATATGAGGGCTGTCACTAATCACACGTAAAATTTCCGAGCATATCGACCCCCACCTACACAGATAGTTGTTTTAGCTACTGTACATTATGTCATAAACATGTGATCAACAAGAGGAAACACCGATCTAGTGCACGCGGCCGCATACCCTACCAGAGTCGGAACCCTCTGCCTCATTTCGTCTTGTCAATTACATGTTGACGACAAAATGTACTCACGTGTGGACGCACCTTATGTGTTGTGTGAGGTTAGGATGGTGTTTGTGTTTTAGGTTGGTGTTAGTGGTAGGTTAGGTTGGTGTTAGTGGTAGGTTAGGTTGGTGTTTGTGGTAGGTTAGGTTGGTGTTAGTGGTAGGTTTAGGTTGGTGTTTGTGGTAGGATTAGGTTGGTGTTTGTGGTAGGTTAGGTTGGTGTTTGTGGTAGGTTAGGTTGGTGTTTGTGGTAGGTTAGGTTGGTGTTTGTGGTAGGTTAGGTTGGTGTTTGTGGTAGGTTAGGTTGGTGTTTGTGGTAGGTTGGGTGTTTGTGTTTTAGGTTGGTGTTTGTGGTAGGTTAGGTTGGTGTTAGTGGTAGGTTAGGTTGGTGTTTGTGGTAGGTTAGGTTGGTGTTAGTGGTAGGTTAGGTTGGTGTTAGTGGTAGGTTAGGTTGGTGTTTGTGGTAGGTTAGGTTGGTGTTTGTGGTAGGTTAGGTTGGTGTTTGTGGTAGGTTAGGTTGGTGTTAGTGGTAGGTTAGGTTGGTGTTTGTGGTAGGTTAGGTTGGTGTTTGTGGTAGGTTAGGTTGGTGTTTGTGGTAGGTTAGGTTGGTGTTTGTGGTAGGTTAGGTTGGTGTTTGTGGTAGGTTGGGTTGGTGTTTGTGGTAGGTTAGGTTGGTGTTTGTGGTAGGTTGGGTTGGTGTTTGGTGGGTTAGGTTGGTGTTAGTGGTAGGTTAGGTTGGTGTTTGTGGTAGGTTAGGTTGGTGTTTGTGTTTGGGTTGGTGTTAGTGGTAGGTTAGGTTGGTGTTAGTGGTAGGTTAGGTTGGTGTTTGTGGTAGGTTAGGTTGGTGTTTTGTGGTAGGTTAGGATGGTGTGTTTTAGGTTGGTGTTGAGTGGTAGGTTAGGTTGGTGTTTGTGGTAGGTTAGGTTGGTGTTTGTGGTGGTTGGGTTGGTGTTTGTGGTAGGTTAGGTTGGTGTTAGTGGTAGGTTAGGTTGGTGTTTGTGGTAGGTTAGGTTGGTGTTTGTGGTAGGTTAGGTTGGTGTTTGTGGTAGGTTGGGTTGGTGTTAGTGGTAGGTTAGGTTGGTGTTTGTGGTAGGTTAGGTTGGTGATTGTGTTGGTTAGGTTGGTGTTTGTGGTAGGTTAGGTTGGTGTTTGTGGTAGGTTAGGTTGGTGTTTGTGGTAGGTTAGGTTGGTGTTGTGGTAGGTTAGGTTGGTGTTTGTGGTAGGTTAGGTTGGTGTTTGTGGTAGGTTAGGTTGGTGTTTGTGGTAGGTTAGGTTGGTGTTTGTGGTGGGTTTAGGTTGGTGTTGAGTGGTAGGTTAGGTTGGTGTAGAGTGGTAGGTTGGTTTGGGTTAGTGGTAGGTTAGGTTGGTGTTTGTGGTAGGTTAGGTTGGTGTTTGTGGTAGGTTAGGTTGGTGTTTGTGGTAGGTTAGGTTGGTGTTAGTGGTAGGTTGGGTTGGTGTTTGTGGTAGGTTGGGTTGGTGTTGGTGGTGAAGTTGGGTTGGTGTTTGTGGTAGGTTAGGTTGGTGTTAGTGGTAGGTTAGGTTGGTGTTTGTGGTAGGTTAGGTTGTTTGTGGTAGGTTAGGTTGGTGTTTGTGGTAGGTTAGGTTGGTGTTAGTGGTAGGTTAGGTTGGTGTTAGTGGTGGAGTTAGGTTGGTGTTTGTGGTAGGTTGGGTTGGTGTTAGTGGTAGGTTAGGTTGGTGTTAGTGGTAGATTAGGTTGGTGTTTGTGGTGGTTAGGTTGGTGTTAGTGGTAGGTTGGGTTGGTGTTGGTGGTAGGTTAGGTTGGTGTTTGTGGTAGGTTAGGTTGGTGTTAGTGGTAGGTTAGGTGGTGTTAGTGGTAGGTTAGTTTGGTGTTAGTGGTAGGTTGGGTTGGTTGTTTGTGGTGGGATTGGGTTGGTGTTTGTGGTAGGTTAGGTTGGTGTTTGTGGTAGGTTAGGTTGGTGTTTGTGGTAGGTTAGGTTGGTGTTAGTGGTAGGTTAGGTTGGTGTTCTGTGGTGGTTGGGTTGGTGTTAGTGGTAGGTTAGGTTGGTTTGTGGTAGGTTAGGTTGGTGTTTGTGGTGGGTTAGGTTGGTGTTTGTGGTAGGTTAGGTTGGTGTTTGTGGTAGGTTAGGTTGGTGTTTGTGGTAGGTTAGGTTGGTGTAGTGGTAGGTTAGGTTGGTGTTTGTGGTAGGTTAGGTTGGTGTTTGTGGTAGGTTAGGTTAGATTAGTGTTAGGATGGTTAATCTTATGGTGAAAGAGGTTGGGAATTAATCTTCAGCTGATCTATCTGGTCATACTGAGAGACGGAACAAGGTCACCAGTACAGGTCACTACAGGACAGGCAGGTGGTCAGGACAGGTGGTCAGGAGAGGTGTGTCAGTATCTCTCTTACCTTACGAGGTTTGTCGGGGTCGAAGGGATCGGTGTGTTGGTCAGGACACTCCGGGGACGTGGTCGGGTCCCCCTCACCCCGCGGGGACACCTCGGGGCTCCCTACACCCACTCCGGACTCTGCAACACAAACACAACACATTGGTCAGGTGAGGGGAGGAAGACACTGCAACACTAACAACAACAACAACAAGGCAGTTTGATGAGAACAAACTCTGCAACATTACCTAACGATATGGGATGGAGTGGGGCAGGTTTTCGAGACGGGATGGGGGAGTTGCGGGGAAAGGTGGGGAGGTGCAGTTGTGGTGGAGGTGTAGTTGTGGGGTAAGGGGCGCGGAGGGATGGGGATGTGTAGTTATAGGGTAAGGGGAGGGGGGGACGGGGAGGTAGCTGTGGGGAGGGGTGGGGTCAGGTAGCTGGCTGACAGGGCGGGAGGTGAAGCTAAGAGGCGGGTGAGGAAGTTGCAGGGCAGGAAGGAGAGGTGTAGTTGAGAGGTAAGGGGCGGGGATGTGTAGTTGCGGGGTAAGGGGCGGGGAGGTGCAGTTTCGGGGTAAGAGACGGGGCTGGTGGGTAGGAGCAGGGTTAGGGGTAGGGCTGGGTGCGTGGGGCAAGGCTGGGCGGGGCTGGAGGGGATGGGGCGGAGCGGGGCAGGGCGGGGCGGAGCGTGGTGGTCGAGCGGTTACACACCCTGGACGTTGGTAATCCTTCATTTCGCGGCCAGCGTAGCGTAAATTGATGGTGGGTGACGCTAAGCCGCCCAGAGGTGTTGGCGAGGTGAGCACCACAGCGCTGCCATTACCCTGCTGCCGCCGCCGCCGCCACCACCACAGTGCCGCCTCCACCACCACACTGCCGCCGCCGCCACCACACTGCCGCCGCCACCATCACACTGCCGCCGCCGCCACCATCACACTGCCACCCATAACACCACCACCAAGAAACCATGCTTCCTAGCCAAGGTGTACACCTCTAAGGGCTTCCTAGCACATGTGTACACCACTAGACACATCTCGCTACTAATAAAGTTATTAACCACTTTTTAAAGATTTCCAAAGCGTACTTAGAGGCGCACCTGCCCTCACTGTTGGACCACCTGGGTGGCTCATACACCTTGGCTATGGCTGCAGCTGGTCAAACCCTCGGCCTCTCTCCTCCAACTGTGACCAGATAATTTAACCCACTGAAGAATGGTTGTTATTTAGATGGAGAGAGAGAGAGAGAGAGAGATCCGAATAAGAACTTTCACCACCTTGTCAATACATACCCGGAATCACAGTGTATGGGGGGGGGGAGGGAGGATGAGGAAAGGCGTTCTTAAGAGAGTATAACACCATCGTCTCTACAACCTTGGGCGCGATAATAACTGTATCTCTCCTATGTGCTGTTAATGACGTTCTTAACCCGGGTTCAACATCTCTATCTCTCTCCACTTCTCTCTCTCTTTTTATCTCTCTCTCTCTCTCTCTCTCTCTCTCTCACGACCCCCATATCACCACAAGGCGACCACAGCACGACCTCTATACGACCTTTGTATCATCACCTACACGGCTACAATACGACCAGTGCACGACCCAAGTAAGACTTCTGGCTTTATGATGCGAAGCTTAACCTCTTTTCTGTCCCAGTCACCCTCCCGCCTCCTACAGTCACAATCCAGTTACTCTCACCTCCCAGTCACCACCCACACTCACCTCACCTACCACACTTACTTCATCTCCCATAGCCAACTCCTCAGTCACTTCACCTCTCACAGTCACCCTTCTACAGTCAATTCCGTGCACCTCACCTCCCACAGTCACCTCACCTCCCACAGTCAATCTCAAGCACCTCACCTGAAAATCATCTCATTTCCCTCATTACGTCTCGCTATTCAACGGTGCTGTTCTCGTGTTCACCTCATAAACCTCATCACCCATTCATGAGTGGACCCTCATTCTCCACCTGAGTGCTTCCCTCATTTGCATACGAGTGGAGATTACCTGGTGAATAATAGTCAGTCACCAGGAATCAAGACGCTTGGCTCTCCTCCTCTCAATTCAGATATATACATCTATTTAAACCTAGATTAAACGTCCTAATTGTTCTATTATCTTGTACTCAGATATCCAATAAATCTTCAGTTATGAGAGATAAATTGCATTAAATTATCACAGATCTATAATTATTTTAGAGGTAAAAAATAAACATTATAAATTTCTAGTTGAAAATCTATATCAGACTCAAACTCCAACCCTGTATTGTTTTAAAATCTATTTCATGATTTATTTCATGATATTTTTCTATATCAAATACTGAAATCTTTAGTGATAGCGAAAAAAAAATAAATTAAAAATCGGTAAACATTTCAAAAATCTATTTCGCCATCAAACACGACAGCTATCCAGTTAAAATCTTTTTCAAAAACAAAAATCATAAAAGTCTCGGGTGATTTTCACTGACTCTATAACTGAATAATAACAACTATTACTAGTGGAAGAATTATTGTGGAAATATAATACTTTTAGAGTATTATTATTTCTCCTCCATCGGCCTCCTACTTCTCCTCCATTGGCCTCCTACTTCTCCATCGGCCTCCTACTTCTCCTCCATTGGCCTCCTACTTCTCCTCCATTGGCCTCCTACTTCTCCTCCATTGGCCTCCTACTTCTCCATTGGCCTCCTACTTCTCCTCCTCCTCCTACATTCGCTTTCCCCTCCTTCATCGGCATCTTTTTCCTTCTCTATGCCTTCGACTTCACCTCATCGAACATGCACCAGACAACTGATAAGCTGTACTCGCCACACCCTGTACGACCCATACCCAATATTCGCCACACCCTGTACAACGCACACCATGCCACACCCTGTACAACCCATACCATGCCACACCCTGTACAACCCATACCCTGTACACGTCACACCTTGTACACACCACACCATGTACAAGAGCAGTAGGTTAGGTTAGGTTAGGTTGGGACGTAAGAGGTGTAAATACCACATCGGGCGAGAACTGATTATATGGTTGGCCACACTAGGAATTCCACTCATCCTATAGCCCTCCAGAATCCTCCCCCCCCCCAACTCTCTCTTACGTTAAATGCCTCTTTTATGTCTCTCTCCGTAACTAAGGCTGTGAGAATATAACTAGTTAAAGTATAGTCTTACAGTAGTTTCGACGCCCTGTTGCCTTGTTCTGTTGAGGGAGTGAACGATCAAGTACTAAGGTTCTCAGTAAAGGGAAATATTTCATGTTTGTTATAATCTTCGGGAATGTGGACCGTGATACCGTCTGGAGCTTCTCTTGACACAGTTCATCAGTATTATGACACATTCCATTAGTCATAAGACACCATTTGAATACCTTGTGACACCTTGTTGTATCATGATGTAGTTATAACGTGATAGCCTTAACTTATGACAAACAGGAGGATACATGATAGTGTTGTTCAATGGTGATTATATTATACAACGACACCAGGTAGCGACGTGCAGGTATGGCTGACGATACAAAACATTGTCACTGATCGTCAGCGAGATACTGTACTGACGTCACCATTGTACTGACGTTATTGACGTTATTTACTATACTGACGTCACCTCTATAATTATAACCACCAACGATAAATTACGACTCATTTCTGAATCAATCCAAGACCAACTGAACATTATTCTCAAATATGACTTTCAAAAACAGAGCCACAGGTAGTACGAGTTGCAGGTGTATATTACTTCAGGTGTATATTACTTCAGGTGTATATTACTTCAGGTGTATATTACTTCAGGTGTAACGTATAGAAGCACAAGCATGACAGAGGTAGTGACTTAACACAGATGTATGTTAAGACGCGCACAAAGATTACTGAACTTGGTCATTAGTCGTGGTACATAAACGTTTTGTTATTTTCCTGCATGATCACACGAGCTGAAGGTGAAACTGAAGGTGACGGATTCACTATCACCTTCTATTGAAAGTGATTTTGGTGTCGTTACTTTCCGCTTACTTATAGTTTATTGGTGATCATGATTATTATTCTGTTCTTATCGGGTCATATTCGTCATGATTGTACGGTAGGTGGTGTGGGGGGGGGGGAGTTCTGTAGGTGTGGGGAGAGACTTGCAGGTGTGGGGAGAGACTTGCAGGTGTGGGAACAGTCCTGCAGGTGTGGGGAGAGTCCTGCGGGTGTGGGGAGAGTCCTGTTAGGTGTGGAGAGATTTGGCAGATGTGGGGAGAGTCCTGCAGGCGAGGGGAGATTTCTGCAGACTTGGGGAGATTTTTACAGGTATGGGGAGAGCTCTGCAGTTGTGGGGAGAGACCTACAGGTGTGGGGAGAGTCCTACAGTGGGGACAGTCCTACAGGTGTGGGAAATGTCATTGTAGGTGTGGGATGGTGTGTGCACGATTACCACACCTGCGGGACTCCCCCACACCTTCAGGACTTCCCTACACCTGCAGAACTCTCCCCATATCTGTAGGACTGTCCCCACACCTGCAGGACTGTTCCCACACCTGCAAGTGTGATGGTCGTGCACACACCACCTCACAGAACCCAAACACAGCCCACAGCAGTGAGCCCCAGCGTGGTGGGTTAACATAGGGGGTGGGCTGAGTGTGGTGAGGACCTCAGTGGAGTCCTTAACACGACCCGTCAACCTCCGGGCGGGGCCGTAGAGGTTGACCTTCACCAAGTGGTTTAATACACCTTCTGCTATCGCTATTCCTTACCTCTTGGTACAGGAGGACGTACCATGGAGGTGGACCTGTGTGGCTGTATCGATTCCAAGCACATGATTGCCATGATGTAAGCCGCACATACACGTACACGTACACACAACAACGCCCGGTGTCGGCTGAATAGAACAAGTCAGGCGCATGGGAATGGGATATGACCAATGGCCTGCCTGAACGATGAGCTCAGTAAGTACACCCAGGGACATGCCCGCCCTCCCTCCCTCCCTCCTCTTAACTCACCTCTCACTGCCTCACCGTCACCTCATTATCACCACCTCAGCGACACCTCATTATCACCTCAACGACATCTCATTATCACCTCACCATCACCAGCGCCTCACCATCACGAAAAAGTTCACCTCAACACAGCCAACTCTTAGTTGTTCTCCCTCTGATTGTCTGTCTGTCT